TTCTATTCTATTCTATTCTATTCTATTCTATTCTATTCTATTCTGTTTCTGTTTCTGTTTCTGTTTCTGTTTCTGTTTCTGTTTCTGTTCCTGTTCCTGTTCCTGTTCCTGTTCCTGTTCCTGTTCCTATTCTAAACCTATTCTATTCTACTCTTTCTCTTTCTCTTTTATTATTTTCTATATTGTATTCTATTCTGTTTTCTGTATTCTATATTTTCTCTACCCTACTCTACTCCACTCCACATTCCTGTTCTGTTCTATGAACAAGGATGGTCTTATCGGTTTTCTCAGTCCACACTGCACTCTTCTCTCACTTTCCCATCACAGAGGTAGGTCCCTCAATGGAGAGCCCCCTCTACATGAAAGCAGCTATCCCAGGCCCCCTCCCCTGGCCAAAGCAAGGCTGAGACCCTCAGGGAGAGGGGGGCTGGCCCCCCGCCCCGCTTGCATCACCTGCTGCTACTGTCCAGGGGGGTCCCTTGGATCCAGGAGGAGGAAGAGGCAGCTCTTCCAGCTTGGCCAGCAACCCTTTATGCCAAGATGGAAATGCCCGAGCTTTCTGTCTCTGGTGCTGGATTCTGATTTCACTCTTTTCTTTTCATGTTACTGATGGGAAAATCAAATACACCTTGCCTAAATAACGTTCTTTTTATGAATGTCAGTACTGGTGCCTTTCATAGCCACAAGGGGATTGCAAACTGGGGGGAGGGGATTACCCTGAGAGTCAGTGAGAGAAGATCCCCTTTTCTCTTGATGCAGGTTTTAATGTTTTACACTGCCCGTGTTGAGTTCTATGGAAAAATTCAGGGGCTGTGCCTGAAAGCAGCCCATTTGTGGGGTGGTGGAGCCGGGTGCAGTCGGGCCTGCAGGGCTCTTAACTGGCAGCCAGGAATGCCAACTTCATGCCCCCCCCAGTGGCTCTCTTGCTGAGGGTGGGCCTGTTCCTCAAGGGAGGCAGCTGAGATGCAGATCAGACGGAGGGCCGAAAGAGGCATTTTCAGGGACCGGGGAGACCGGGTGCCCTCAGCAAAGGCAGGAGGGATGGCTGACTTTACTCAAATTTCATCTCTTGGGAGAGTGATTAATAAAATACAGAACAGGGGAGATTTCTCCAAAAACATGTGGAAGCTATTTATGGATTATGCTGATGGGCCTGGCATTAATGTATGAAAATATGCAATACTGCTGCATTTGTTGGAAAGATTGCCACATAATGAAGGTTTTATCGGTGAATTATGCATTCCTCCTCAAGTTGTATGTTCAAAGAAGAGCAGGAGAGGAGGAAGGAGGGATGGCTTTGTTTGGAGATGACTCGGGGGTTTGCAAGGCTCTCCTGCTTTGAAAGAGAAGCCCTCTCCTTCGCCCAAGGCCTCCTCCACCGCCACTGAGGAGATGCAGTTGTGAGGCTTGGTGCCTCATCCTGACAAGCGCTGAGCATCTCCGTCTGGGAAGAGCCAGAGGGCCAGCACAAGAGGGGGGCGCCTTGGAAAGAGGAGGCCCACATGGACCAGAAAGGGAACCTGCAGCCCGGCCCTGACTTAATCAGAGCACAAACACAAAGGAATTCTGGGAAAGCTCCCCAATCTCTCCATCCAAAAGCCGGTGGGGAAAAGAGGAGGAACAATGGATTATTCCGATATCACACAAAGTCTCAGCCCTGGAGGAAATGGCGGGTGGGAGAGGTTGTCATAGATTCCAAGGGATCTGTTCAGCCTAACAAACAATCGTAACAGGCCTTCTTCTCTGGATGCTCTGTCAGGTGTGACACAACAGTTCTAAGGAAGGCAATAAACAGATGTTAGAATTATGCTGCTTAATAATTTTGGCTGATGTATTTCAGTAGAATGCAATTTGGATGGTATTACCTAGTGGTTGGAGATCTTCAGACAGCATCTCTCTCGTATAACAGTTGCGTCCCTTTCTGGATCGGGACTCGTTATGCACGGTCACTCATGCCCTCGTCACCTCCTGTCTGGACTATTGTAACACTCTATACATGGGGCTCCCCTTGAGGAGCACTCGGAGGCTCCAACTGGCGCAGAGTGCGGCCGCGCGGGTGGTGATGGGAGCAACGTGGCGCTCCCATGTAACGCCTCTCCTGCGCGAGCTGCACTGGCTCCCGGTGGTCTTCCGAGTGCACTTCAAGGTCTTGGTTATCACCTTCAAAGCGCTCCATGGCTTAGGACCTGGCTATTTACGGGACCGCCTGCTGCCACCAATAGCCTCCCACCGACCAGTACGCTCCCATAGAGAGGGGCTCCTCCGGGTGCCGTCGGCCAAACAATGTCGACTGGCGGCCCCCAGGGGGAGACCCTTCTCTGTGGGGGCACCTACGATCTGGAACGAGCTCCCCCCGGAGATACGGAGGATTCCGGATCTGCGTACCTTCCGTCGCGCGCTTAAGACGTTTTTATTCCATCAAGCTGGCCTGACCTAAACTTTTCCTCTTTTAAATGGAATTTTAAATTTGGTTTTAATTTATTGGGGTTTTAAAATGTCTCAGCCAAATTTATTTAATTAGTTTTATCTCTATTTTAAATTTTGTATCCACATGTTTTATTTTATGGCTGTTCACCGCCCTGAGTCCTTCGGGAGTAGGGCGGTATACAAATTTAATAAACTAAACTAAACTAAACTAAACAGTTTTCCAGGGTATCCAAATCCAGAACGTAAAAAAACCCCATAAAAATGTGTAATTACAACTTTGCGTAAATATCTACTTTTCATTCATACATCTATTAGTTGCCATTTTTTGTGTGCTTTTCCTGACAATGAAAGGCTTAAGGAAGGATAACAGGCATATGCCTTATTTTGGTCTTCATAAGTAACCAGCTAATAAGCCAGACATTTAAATTCTGCTTCAGCGAGTAGATCCATAGCTTGTCAGAGCATTTAGCAAAATCAAGTCAGCAGATTTTTCCAGTATTTAGCCTCTTCTCAATTTTGCTAGCGGGCTATCAACTTTCAGTTCCCCAAACAGCTTAATCCTTGGATCCGCAACGGTTATGCAACTGTTTATATTTTTTCCATTCTGCTTTCCCTGCTTCTGAAAAATGGGTTTCTTTTCTAATTGTTCTGAAGGAGACACATTGTGCTACACCATGTTTCAGTTGCTGAATCACTTATTCCATAATTCCTGTAATTTGTGAAATTCCGCTGAGCTTTGCACATTATTTCTACCATAATAAACGGCAAAGAAGGAATTCTCAATAAGGAAAGAAAAATGATCATCAGTTACCTACTGCTATAGGTTCATCTTCTGGATTTAGCCCAACCAGGTAACACATTTACCCAAAGCACTGAAGATGTACAGAAAAGCTCTTTTCCATTTTGTGGGTGACCAATTCAGGCAGATGCTTCCTTAGATGAAGTGGGACATATCGCCAAAGAAGTGGCACATGGCAGACATCTCTGGCAGGCACCAGAAGCTTTTGGTGGAAACTCCAGACCACGGGACTGGAGGGCCCTGGGAGGGCCCTTTGGATTCCAGAGCAGCTGGCAGGCGATAGGGCTTGGGTGGTGGGCACAGGTTCATCTTGCTTAGCCCCCCCCCCACTCTAGAACACCTAAGCTGTGGCAGCTTTAAGAAAGAGCAGAGCAGAGCATCTGCTGAAAGGGCACAGGAGAGCTTGGAAGGTGGGATGCGGTGTGTGTGTGTGGGGGGGGCTGAGCCAAGCTGTCGTGGTTATAGATGACTTCAGCCCAGCATTGGAGAAAGACATGAATTCTCACCAGTGGAAAAATCCCTAAAATTGTTATTTGAAAGGCTATTTCTTGTCATTATTAGGAATATACGGAGCCAGGACGTGATTCCAGTCCTTCCCAGGTAATTCTAAAATTGGGCCTACGATATGGAAAGTGATTTGGAACGATGGAGCTCCATCACTGACCAGTTTCCAACCTTCTCTTGCTGGATGAGTGGACAATCCCTTTTCCTTAGTCATAGTCAGGCCTGGGGTGGTGAGTGGCTATTTTCTTGGCTGCCTTTGACAAGACAGGGAAGGAGGGAATGCTGCTATTGGGGAGAGGGACCCACTGAGAGGTGGGAATTAAGGGCTCTGTCTTGGCTGCCCTAGTTACGGTTGTGGAGGTAATGGTGGGGTAACCGGAGAGAGAGTCTCTCTCTAGCCCTGTTCTTACCTTCTTGAGGCTCAGGGCCGTTTGGCTCCTGGGTTGTGTTTTCTTCAAGGAGGGAGGGAAGGAAGGAGTTAATCTCTTTGGCTCCCCTCCTCGGCCTCCCCCCTGGCAGTCCACCCCAGTTCCACCATGAAGGGGCACCATTATTCCTTGCCACCCCCTTCCCTTGCTGAGAAGGGCCCTCCTGCTTGCAATTTGTTACAGAAATCCCTGCCAAAATGCCCCCAACACAGACTTCACTATGTTTTCTCTCAAAAGAAGTTTATGGACATTTTTTTCTGCTTTAAAAATTCGGCATTTTGAAGGAACATAGTTTGGAAGTCTCTTGTTTGACATTTGTTTCAGTTTGGTGCATTTAATTCTTTAATAGCGATTTTAATTTCCTGTAAATTCTGTTCTGGTGAAAGGAATTTTTTTTTTTTACATTGTATGTGAAGAACAATGTAATATGTGGTGCAGACCATGCATATATCCAGCATCCTTAATTTTCATGAGGAGGAACTGGACATAGTCGCAGGTACAGTCCAGTATCCGCCCTTCACTAAGCTTTAAGCCTCTCAGCTCTCTGGGGCCTCTAGAAGGGGGTGGGGGAGTTGCGATGTGAGAAAAAAGAAAACTGGGAAAGCTGTTTGGTGGGACCGAGGCTTTTACGGGCTTCCCTGCTTAGATCAGGGGTGCTGATCGTTGCTCTGTCAGGAACCGAAGCCTGCAGGAAAGCGCAAAGAGGAAAGGGAAATGGTGGATTTATTTTCTAGAGTGTGCAATGGGACACCTGATCTCTTTACAACAGTTAAGGACTGTTTGTTAAGTTCCCGCCCGTGAGTGAATCTCTCTAGAAGGCATTAGACAAAGATTAGGCAATCTTGTTGTAAGCCTGCTTTATTATTGTTATTGCTGTTGCCGCTACTTTGCTGCAGACCTTGGAACCATAAAGCATAGCAGGGAGATCTTTGCTCAAGGATCTTATAATACAAAAAGGGGACAAGCCCAAGGGAGGCATCAGAAAGAAGGTGCAATGACAATGACAATAGAGGAAAAAATAAAGACAAATGAAAGTGAGGAGGTTAAGATGCTGCCAACAATGGCAACATGAACTAAAGCTGGCCAATGCTATTAATAAGGTCAACTGTGAGTTTAATAATTAGCTGCAAGCTGTTCCGTCAAATCCAGATCTGAAACTGACTTCCTGCACAGTCAGACACTAACCCTGACATAACAATCAGAGGATTCCCTTGCTTTTCAGGGATGAGAATATTTCCAGTGTTCAAATATTGTTAACTTTCATAGTGAGCTCAAAAGGAAGTAACCGCAATGTCTCATTTAAAAGAGGGTTGGAATTTGATTATGCAGTAAAAATATGTACAAAAATGTCAGGGTTCAATCAGGTTAAATCCTGTAAGATCTTCAATCTTCCAATTTTTTTGACCATATTTGTTAGATATATTAAAAGGTAGCAAGACAGAAGAATCAGTCAATTGTAGCTCCTACCTTTTCCATGTTCTTATGGTATCTTCTAGATACGGATTTGTAAAATACATGAAGGCCTGAGTATCAGGGATGAATCACACTTTCCTATGAGATGGAGAATGCAGAACAAACTCAGTTTGTTTCCACTGATGGTGGTTTGAATTTCACTCATCTGAATCACCTTCTCCTGCAAAGGACCATCTTCTCTGCTATTGTTAAGGGCTGGCTAACAACCAGGGGGAAAAAGAGGCTGGGAGAAGCCAGTGTGCCCTGGTCTTTTGTCATCAGCGGTTGTCGATCTCTGGTAACAAACGGTTACAGCAGAGCCTTCCTCTGATCCACCTCACTCTTCACTGCTCAAGCTGGAGGACTCTGGGGGAGGTTGAACCCCTGAAGGATACTTCCACTGGCTGCAGACCAGGAGCTTTTGAAGCAAAAGAAAAGAGAAAAATGCACAGGGGACACTGGTGTGCACCTTTACACAAAGTGTACACACAGCCCAAGAGAATTATTTGTAAGTCAGTTATCAAAAGGCAGCCTCTTTTTATATGAAGGCTTTGAACATTGGCGGTTTTTCCCCCTCTAATATCCCATGCTTCTATTGAACTAAGAATAAGTGAAGAGTTCTCCATCTTCACTCACTGGGGAAAAAATAATCCCCATCCAGACACTGATAGCTCTAATGCAGGGAAATAGGACAGATTTAACATTTTATATAAATTTAGTTTCTAATGCTAAACACTATAAAAATACAATCTGGAATGCCCTGCTGAGCAATTCTGGCGACTGAGGCAGGGCAGCGGCCAGAGGTTAACACTCATCTCTGTCTAACAAAGATCGGGGGGGGGGGGGGGGGGGGGGGGCTCTCTCATCTCACAAGACTGGGACCATTTAAAATATTTTGGAGTCAGGCAACATTTCAAATCCCTGCCATATTTCTCCTTCTTTTTCAGAAGTAACTCTAGGTTCCAGATGAGCTATTTCCACCTGACATTCAGGAAGGCTTTCCAAGTCCTGAACTAATTCTTGAGATTAGGCGTAGGGTAAATGAAGGTAAACAAATTAGGTTTGACTGATTTTGGATTAGGAGCAGCTCTCTGGGTAGACAGAGTGCAGATCAGGAACGATCTCGCACCATTTTGGAGGAAAAGGCAGGATTCAAACTGGGTTAACCACGGCCAAGAAACACCGAGCCTCTCAGCCTGCTCTGGGGCAGCAGCCCGGCGCCTGGGTCCTTTGGAGCCCGGACGGAGCACTGATCGGCCCACCCGGGGTCTCCTACAAAAGCGGCGCCCCTCCCCTCTTTTAGCAGACCCCACCCGCCACGTCCGCGTTGCTGAGAGGCTCTTTGGGAATCTAAGCCGGCCCCGAAACCGATCCGTTTCCCGTCTCTGAATCCAGCTACGGGAGGAGAGAAAAGGCAGCAAGGGCCATTAAGAACTACAGTATTTAATCGTTTAACCGTTTAATTGTTTATTCTCTAAGCGCGGGATGGAGCCCGGATTCCAGAATGCATCCAATCTTGTCCTCCGGGGTTTTTATTTCCTTGGCACTCGGGAGGGCTGGACTACTTCAAGCCTTACCCGGCGCCCCAAAGGAGGCGGGACAGGGGTCCCACGCTGGTCCAGCTTCACCTGCTCTTCCCAAAGAGGCCACCTGGGGAAGTGGTAGAAAGGACGCTTGGGGGGGGCTTTGATCCCAGGGCTGTGGCTACCTCTTGGCTCCTTTGAGCCCCCTCCCCCTCCGAAGGAGGCTCAAGACTGGGCCCCAGAGGGCTGTGTGGGCAAATTCCACGCCGTCCCCACATAAGGAGCCACGAAAAGCGCTAGTCTCTCGGGAGACGCGCCGTTGGAATCTGGGAAAACCAGAGCCGGGAGGAGAGGGGAGCAGGGTATCCCACGCACCCCTTCTGCTTGAGGAGGAGCCTCGGCTGGCCCGCGGGGAGGAAGGAGCTCCGTTCGCAGAGAGCCGGCCCAGCGGGAAAAGGTGAGCCCAACCAGGAGCAGCTCAGGACCCGGAGAGTTTGGGTGCCTGTCTTGGCAGCACTTGTGGGTGCCCTCCCTCTGCCGTGCCCGCAGGGACCACGCCCACCTCTTGCACAGATTCACACTCTTAGCTGAGCAAAATGCCGGAGCCAAACCGGAGAGGAGTCCAGAAGGGCCTCGTTTCAAAGGAAGCAGAAAAGTCATTTATTTCCTCAGAAAAGCAGCTGGAAGAAGATTGCCCAATGGGGTGGAAAGAGCCCGAAGTATAAATCACGAGGCAAAGCCCAGGCGCCCCTGATAAGGCCGGGAGAGAGAAATTTTGTCCCCTCGACTTGTTTCTCTCTCTCTCTCTCTTGGCCGCCCCAAAGGGCCCCGCCTCTTTTCCTCATTTGCATACAGCAACCCAAAGCGGCGGTGGGTAGGTGGGTGGGTTGAATCTCACCTGCTTGATGAACCCCAGGCAGCCAATTTGAGCGGAGAGCAGGACAGGAAGAGGGACCGGCAGAGGGAAAAGTCCCTCTTTCAGAAGCGTCAAGTGGGGGGGGGGGATATGCAGGCCTGCATTTTAAAAGAAGGAACTCCGCCCCTTCCCAATATGGTGATTCCAAGCTGAAGTTTCTTTCTCTCTCTCTCAGAGTGGCTATCTAGAAAGATGCTTCCTGATCCTGTTTTTCCCAATTGCCCCATTTTCACCTTCCCTTCCCCCTTCCCTTTTTTCTATCTCCCTTCCCTTCCCCAACGCCCCCCCCCCCACTTGCTCTCTTCAGCTGCTCTTCTCTTCAGACCTGGACAACCTCCCCACCCCCGCTCATCCCTGCCCATGATTTAAATGGAACCGCGCCCCAGTCTCTCTCCCTTGGGGGCCGGAGGCAAATCCAGCCTTGGCCCATGGCAGCCTCCCCCTCGGCCACCACTGATCCTGGAGGAAGCTCAGCTGAGCTGCAGCAAGTGCGCTCGGAGGCCCCTGGTGGGAAGCTGCCCTCTCCTCCTCCCCTTTCCCCCCAGGGGCCCGGACCTCTGGGACCCTCTCTCGAGTCTGGAAGCCCCCCTCGCGGCTTCCAGGCAAGGGCTGCTGCTGGAGAGGCGGCGATTTCTGCAGGGACAACGGAGGCCCGCTTTCTCTCACTGTGGTGGGGCAACAAAAAAAGGCAAGCGACGCCAGACGGACCTTCCCTGATTCTTTGCCAGTTTCAGCCACTTTCCCAAGGAAGTCCGAGAGGTGGTCGCCAAACAGTTTTCACTCTTCAAGCGACCCTTCCTTCCTTCCTGGCAGAATCCAAGGTGAGTGAAGGGAGCTGACTGCAGCGTCTCCCAACCGGCCTGCTCACAACCAGGAGAACAGCTGGGGAGTCCCGCAGAGGGACCCAGCAGGCCTTGTGCTGAAGGGGGCAGCAGTCTTAAAATTTAATATATTTATCGCTCGATAATTGTCAAATAAATAAATCGATGACATCACCCATCTGACTCTCAAAGTATCTTTTCCCCAAATAGAGAGAAGGAAGGAAGGAAGGAAGGAAGGAAGAGAAAGAAAGAAAGAAAGAAAGAAAGAAAGAAAGAGAAAAGAAAAAAACTGGTGGGGGAAGCCTTGAGATAGCCTGGGTGAGATCTGCAAATGCTCTGGGCATCAAGGCCAGAGTCTACTGGAAAAGTCTCTGCACTTATTAAATCTCTTCAGGTAGAATTAAAATGTCAGAGCAGCAATTTAAGGTCCACATCAGTGAAACTGGTTGGATGCGCCATCATACAGAACAAGTGATTGTAACATATTTCAATGAATATAAAAATGCACAAGGGTCTGTGCAAATGCCAGATGGAAATCTGGGGATCAGGTGATGGCTTATCTCGCAGCCACTTGGCTCACCCTGGCCTCCTTTCTGAGGGCTGGTGACTCTAGCAGACATTCAGAGGGCTGCAGTGCCATTTTTCTCTACCCATAACCTCTCCAGGCTGCCTAACATGGGAAGAGGTGGGTTTGGTGGTTTCCACTTGAAATATACTGTCTTCTGAGGCATAAAATCCTTGGCAAATAAACTGCCCTAAAATGAATAAAGTGAAACAGCCATGTTGACTTTTCTCATGGACAAACTCTGATATTGGTTGTTTTCTTGCAGACATTTCATTACCCAAACTACCTACCAAAATCTCCCAGACTGCCCCCACCAACGCTGACAGGGCAAACCCCTAGAATATAAACGGAGAGCCAACCTCCCTCCTTACTAGCACTGATGAAGTTACCTAGTTGGGTCATGAAACATCCGCAAGAAACCCACCAAGCTCCCCGAGAGCACCAAGGAGCCCTCATGTCAATATTCTCCTTCATTGGACAAATTTGAGCAACAGGAAACTTGTTTTGATCTGGATGCCTTGATCTTGCAGCCAGTGGTCCCAAGTAAATTCCAGCCAGCATGGTTTTGGATGATGGTGATAACTTCACCTCTCCTGCAGGGTTTCTGAGCTGTCTCCTGCCTGGGCCTCGATGGCTGTCACTCTCCCCCTTTTTTGTGCTGATGGATCAGAGGAGTCGATGGGGGGAGGGTCAGTTCAGTAGACCCTAGAGACTGAAGCTGCCTCTGATGGGGGAAGCACCATGCAACCCGGCAGCAAAGTGAGGAAGGAGATACGCGACCCTCAGAAAATCTACCTGATCAGGAAAGGATGGTAACTTTGGGGAACTCATAAGGGCGAAATACAAGGAGATTCAAAATCAGTTGATGAATGAATTGTCTCAAAGGTGCTTTTTCCAAAAGGCAATTTTCCTTGAAGATGTTTCCCTTGTCATCCAAGAAGCTTCTTCAGTTCAGTTGAGTCTGAAGAAGCTTCTTGGATGAGAAGCCAAACGTCTTCCTTGAAAAGTTGCCTTTTGGGAAAAAGCGCCTTTGGGACAACCGTGAGCTGGACGACTGAGAATCTCCATAGGCAAACAAATGATGAATTGTGTGTGGAACGGGACGGAGGGCTGCTAGATGGCTTTAAAGGGGACCAGCCAAATTACAGGCAGCGGTCGCTAAAGGCAGTAGTTGCCACAGGCAATCCTGAAGGGCAACATCACGTGACCGCGCCGTTAGGGATGGAAAGCCCAGCAGGCTCTGTTGCTGTCAGGAAGGAAACCATCGCGGTGCCCAAGCAAGAATGTCACGTGGTCCTCTCGTGCCACCTCCTGCTAGTTGCCCCTCTAGACCCGGGGAAGCTGGCATGGGCCTCGTCGGAAGCCGGCAAAGAAAAACCAGCCATGAATCGAACCAGCAAATGCTGCTCGCGTGACCGCAGGGAGGCTGCGACGGATGTAACTGTGAGGACCGCCCTACCTATCATTGGCTCAGCAGAGTTGTAAGTTCGATCCCTGAATGATGCTCATGAAGTGAGGACCACCTATGGTGGACAACGGGCGCCGCCAGAGCAGCCGGCCTTCCCGCAAGAACTGACCGGACTGGGGGCCAGGCTAGGTGCAACTTATGGCCCCTCAGTGGAGAGCGCGGGGGCTGTGTTCGTGCCAGGCCAGAAACGCTTTGGAAGCGCGAAGAGTCCCTCCGATACTCGGAGCTGCCTTGACCACAGCAGGAGAGGCTGGAGAGCCGGCAGCGGGAACGGAAGCGCCCTTCCCACATCGCCCCGTTTCGTTCTGCTTCCTTCCGACCACAGCCGGAGCCCCAAGGCCGAATCTCGGCCCTACCTTTGAAGGAGCGTTCGGAGAGAGTAGATCACGGCAACCAGGAAGATCCGGGAAGGACCAGGTGGCCGATCGGTGATCGCGCTCTTGGGACCCGGCAGGGAATCTCCCGCAAGAAGAGGTCGCGGCTTCTCTCTTCCTCCAGACGGCAAGGATTTCAGCTCCAGGAAGAGATCCCGATGGAAGCTTTTAAAAAATGCTCCTCCGGGTCGGAGAGGGGAGCCAGGCTGAGGCCTAGGGGGAAGGGGAGGGGCGGCTCGCGGACATAGATGGGCTCCAGTGGAAGCCAGGCAGCCCTCCCGAATCTGGGCTTCTGGACTGGGCGGCCGGTGGAGTGGACGGCCTTGGGAGACCCCCCCAAACCTAAGATTGCATGGTGATATTTTTTCCCCGTTGAGAAAAGTCCAAGGTTAGAGCATTTCAAAAAGCTAGGAAGTTGGGCTTTGAACATTTCAGCGGTGCATCTACAGCCGCTGCTTTTAGAAAATCCGAGGTTGCTGCGTCAACCTCTCCGTTGACGCAGCGGGAGACCCGGCCCCTTTTCAAGTCCCGGATCCGCCACCTGAAAGACCGAAGGCGGCTTCTCGGGAGGCGCTTCCACGGCGCAATCGAAGCGCTGCCTCCCACGAGCGCTTCGCTCCACACACGGAAGGGACAACTAGCGGCGGCGTCGCCCGCAAAGGAGGCTCTCCAGCCAAGCCCTGTCCGGCGGGCGCTCCTGCTTTCCCTCTCTCGTCCTCGCTGCCGGGAAGCCTCCCGGGCAGGTCCACGCCCCCGTTTCCCCCGCCGGCCATGGATCGAGCAGGCTACGCTTCCCGGGCCCGCCCAGTCTTCACTAACCTCCCCCCCCAGCCCCTCCGCAATCGCCGCGCTAAAATGGGTCTGGGAGCCCTCAGAGAAGCCGGCCCCGAGGCTGCGGCAGACTCTGCCTTCTCCAGGCGGAGCCAGAATCGCCTCTCGCCCTGCACGTCTTGGTCAGGCGGGAGCGCCGCAGAGGCCGGTTGGCCGCGCCACTTAACCCGAGACTTGGCCGGCCGTGAGTCCACTTTTCGGGAGACGGAGGCGGAAAGAGGTGCTGGCCTCCCCGGATTCGCGGAGCTTCCCATCCCGACCTTTCTGAGGGCGGCGGCGCGATTCTGTCCTCCCCACTTCCTGCCTTCCCTCCAGGGACCAAGCCCGCTCTCCCTGGGCCAGGTGTGCTGGTCGTCGGGCGACGATAGCTTTTGGGCCCACTGAAGGGTTCCCTCGACATCTCCCGAAAGCCCCGTTGCCTTTAGCAAATGTTCCCCTGGAAATTAAACGTGGCGCGGATTCCATTTACTTGGGAGAAGGTCTCTCTGAATTCGATAGAATTTACTTCCAAGTAAACTGGAAACCCAAAGGAGGAATTTTTGCTTAATTGGGGGCACAGTACGTATTCCTCAAGGGTAAGCGTGGCTCCGTGCACCTCTCATTCGCAAAGGGCCGACTGCTTTTGATCAACGCTGTCGGATCTGAGGAAAAACGAGGCTGCTGAAGCTCGTCGCAGCTTCGAATCCCCCCACGAACAGAAGGGCTCGGAGGCGCCACGCGGAGCAAACTGGGCGACGGCAGTCTCGCTTCCCACTCGGGCCTGTGGATCTGCTCTCACGTGAACCCAAGGTCCCTCTCCGCAGGGTTAATCCACCCCCCTTTAGACCGGCGGCTAAAGCGGCGGGGGGGGGAGGGGAGCCGGGACTTAACTCAGAGCGCAGGACAGGCCGGCAACCAAAACCACCGCGGAAGAGAGAGAGACGCGGAGATCCCGCAGGTCGGGTGGGACGAAGGCAGCGCCCAACCCGGTCACCCCGCTGTCGTTTAAAATTAATTTATTTATCAAATATAGCTATTAATATAAACGATAATAACTTTTTCGACTGTACAGTATTGTACACGGGGCGCTGCGCTCCTTCCTCGCGGGGAGGCAGCCAAGGGCCGCGGCGTCTCCGAAGGGCTGTCCGGCCAGGGCGGCTCCGCCAGGGC